GGTTCCGACCCATAGCGACCCTGTACAGGGTTTCCGAGGGTGTAAATCCTTACGGGAGTAGAAAGCCTCATCTTTCTCCCGCGGAGCGTCTGGTAGTTTCGAACCGCTGACCTTAAGGTTCGCAGCCCGATTCGTAACCACTACGCTACCAGAGCTCCAGGCATAGTAAATCATAAAATTATTTGATTCCAAATGGCCCAGACCTGACAATTTCAGCACACTACTGCCTATGATATTGATCTTTATTGATTCCATTTTATTTTTAACAACTTTTAATTTTTTAAAATTCATACTTTGTATATTCCATGTTCCTATTATTAATGGTTGTTTGCAGCTGTCTCTTCTTGTTTTCACTTGTGCCATATCTGCAAATGAAGGTACTAAAGGCTTAACTCCATCGACATCATTAAGGTCAACTTGACTTGGAGGAAGCAGCTCTCCCAGTCACATTTTGAGTGCCTTCCAACATGAGGGGCTTTTATCCTGGCACTATATATGACAATGTTCTGCTGGTATTCAGAAGGTTTTCATTGGCTAACCATCTAGAAATGGCATGCCTCTCCTTCTCCCTCCCTAGTCTATCTGAACCTGGAAGCCTTGCTGAAATCTGCCCACCATCTCCACAGTTAATGACCATGCATTCATTAATTCTATAAGTATTTATGACATCGACTATGTCACATCTACTAGGAGTCCTGGTGTTACACTGTATTATAAGCCCTGGACTGCTAACCCCAAGGTCAATAGTTCAAACCCACCAGCCACTCCTTAGAAATCTTATACAGGGTCATTATGAGTCAAAACTGACTTGATGGCACTTAACAACAACAACTGTACCCTAGGCATATAGAGAGAATGGAGTAGCTAGAAGGAACAATAAAACCTCTTACAAACTATAATTTAGTGAATTATAGTTCAGAAGTTTGTATTTGTTAATTATTTGTTGTTAGTTTCACAGGTCAATTTTTGATTCTTGGCAATACCACGTGCTCTAGAGCAGAACAGTTCTATGGAGTTTTCTGGGCCATAGTCTTAAGGGAAGCAGATTGCCAGGGTTGTTTTTGTCTTTCAGAATACTGCTGGGTCAGTTTGATTCACCAACCTTTAGGCTTAGCAGTCTAGCACAAACTATGTACCACCTAAACACAACCCAAAATCTCACTGCCATCAAGTCAGTTAAACTCATTGTGACCCTATAGTACAGAGCAAGACTACTGTGTAGAGCTCCCAACGCTGTAAATCTTTTTTATTTTTCTTAAATGTTTTATTGTGAATTATGTGATAGTTTACATGGGAGGACATTAGTTTTAAATTCATTCTATCGTATATTGTCTCATTGCCTTGGTTACAATCCCCTCCATGCAATCCTTCCCCTGTACTCCCCAGGTCTTCAGCACACAGTCGCTCTCCCTCTCTGGATCTAAAGTCTCCAGCTGCTCCATCTCTCCACGTCATCATCTCTGGCTCCATTTCAGGCATCACTGCTTCTCTGGGTAGGGTCCCGCTCTCTGCTCTTCTCCCTTGATGGTCCTAGGGACCTCCGCTCCTAGACTGAAAAGTTAATCACTCCCTTCCTTGCTATAAAACGTCTACCTTTACATTTCCGACCCTCACAATCAGTCCGGTTAACAATTATTCACTATTGTATCACAAGAGACCCGTCTGCATTTCATTGCATCAGCCCCGCCTAGTCAGATTGAATACTACTCACTGGAGATTCTACCTTCCTCCAGGCCCTCTGTATCTAGGTTCCCTCTTGAAAGCTTGTAAGCCAGTCACTTCTTGCTTTTGTAGCCCCCCATTTTGGGTAGCCAATGTCCAAGTTGCCCATCCCTGTCTACTCTGTGTGTGGAGGGGGTGGGAATGATTTTTCCTGTAAGGACTTGTTCCCTCTTTTGAGCTACTGCTTCCATAGGTGTAGGTCCAACGCTGTAAATCTTTATGGAGCAAACACATCTTTTTCCTGTGCAGTGACTGGTAGATTCAAATCGCCAGTCTTTTGGTTAGAGATGAATGCTTTAACTGCTAGATCTTCTGGGTGACCCTTAGTGACCTAAATAATCACATAAACCAAACCCATTGCCACCAAGTCGATTCTGAATTATAGAGACCCTGGATAGGTTTTCTAAGCCTGGTTAATCTATACTGGAGCAGAAAGCCTTATCCTTCTCCCTAGGAGCAGTCAGTGGGTTTGAATTGTGAACATATGGTTATGAATACATTGATTATTGCATACAGCCTCCCTAAATAATCATATAGGTAATGTAATACTATAATACTGATAAATGCTATATGAATGCATACCTATATCACTAGCTTCTAATCCAAAAACATAGGCATATTGTTTAAGGAGTTTGTATGCAATTATGATGAAGATATATATTGTTGTTGTTGTTATGTGTCATGGAGTCGGTTCCGACTCACGGAGACCCTGTACAGGGTTTCCAAGGGTGTAAATCTTTACGGGAGCAGAAAGCCTCATCTTTCTCCTGCAGAACAGCTGGTAGTTTCGAACTGCTGACCTTGCGGTTCACAGCCCGATATGTACCAGAGCTCCTTGATAAGCTATTCTATTTTAAGTTATCCTATTTTAAGCATGGAATCCTGGTGTGGCGCTATGGGTTAATGCGCTGGACTGCAAAGTTGGTTTGGCCTGCCAGATCAGCGGTTCAAGCTCATCAGCTGTCCTCATAAACCCCATACAGGCTGGCTCTGGGCCAGAACTGACTTGATGGCACCTAACAACAACATTTTAAGCATATATAAGAACATATAAAGTACATTTTATAAAAGGAATCCTATATAGTATGTCCTACCTGGTTTAATATTGTTGAATTCTTTCTCAATCGTCTCTTCAGATGTAGACAGCATAAGGTTTCTGACGTATAGGATTTTCACTGACGACATTGTATCTTCATCAACTTCTACTTCTGGCTCTGCCCAATCTACTGCAATAGGATGTCCCCATAACTGAATTCTTCCTATTGAACATGATCACAAGTATGATTATATAGCAATCAGGACAATACTATATTAGCTCATACTGATGGCCTTTAAAATTGAGCCCGTCGTTGAGGTTTTGAATGGGCAAGAAGACCAGCATGAAAGGAGATGATTACTGAGTTGAACAGGCATTCTGAATAAATGTAAGATTTTATTAGAAGAAGGTTCAGTGTGACCAGAGGTTCATTACCATTATCAGAGAACTGGAGTATGGTTTTAAAAGGAACAATAGTGGGCATGTTTGGGTCTTGGGGCAACTCTCACAATGTGATGCTAATGGTTGAAGAAGAGATGATGGAAAGGGAGGGAGGAAAAGAATGGTTTTAAAGACTGACTTCATCAGACTAATGCTAGAAAGGTCATAAGGAAAGTGTCTGCTGCAGTTGGCACATGGTGTTACATTGGGCAGGCATCACCACTGAGTTGTCCCAGAACTGGTGCTCAGGAAATGGTGCGTAGGACTCAGGCACCCATTGTTCATGCTGTGACCCTCACAGTGGGCAGGGCTCAAGCCAACTCTTGTTTTTGTTGTTGTTTTGTGTCATAGAGATACTGTATAGGGTTTCCAAGAGTGGCTGGTGGACTTTGACTGCTGACCTTGCGGTTACCAGTCCAGTGCTTATTGTGCTGTGCCACACCACGGGCCACTGTATTCCATCTATACACAGGCCAGCTGTACTCCATTCTAATTTTCCACCAGAAAATGGACAATATAGAAATCTGAAGCAAACCCAAATTATTCAAATTAAGTAGAGAGATGATAAGCAAAGGAAGAGTCTATGATGAAACTTTTAATTCTTCTTGAATGGGTATTTGGTGTCCAGGACTAAATGTATTTTCATATGCTTATGGGGTCCTGGTGTGGTGCCATAGGATATACACTCAACCTCAAGGTCAGTTTCAACCACAAAGTTGGCAGTTCAAATTCACCAGCCGCTCCTCAGAAACCCTTTACAGGGTCGCTGAGTTGGCACCAACTTAACGGCACTTAACAACAACAACATAGTTAAAATGTATTGAGTTCTTGCAATGCACTATGATTATGATTTTCCCATGTGCTATGTCAGTTCCTTCTCACAGTGATCTTATGAGGAGGAGAATGATTTTACAGGAGAGGAAATGATATAGAGATGATAGTTCACTAAAAGCTGTTTTACCTCACAACTTTTGCTATCTTTGACTCGGCACTTGTACAAAAGTCACCCCCTAACCCACCCTCATGCTCTCAGATACTGAAGAGTCCACTCCATGTACCCCCTCCTCCATGTTTCTCAGAGTAGAAATGTACTCCATAGGGTTTTCAGTGGCTGACTTTTTGGAAGTAGATCGCTAGGACGTTCTTATAGAGTGCCTTTGAGTGGACTTGAACCTTAACCCTTTTAATTAGCTGCCAAGCATGTTAACTATTTACGCCATCTACTGACTCTCCTGCATCTCTACACAGCCCACATCCATGCTGAGGAGTTGAGAAAGTGGTTAGGGTTAACTCAAGTTCTAAATTTGATGAGAGATTGAATTTGTTTCGAATTAGTCCTTTGGAAGAAGCTATAGTCTGGAAACAGTAAAGACCTTGAAAGAACCAAAGCAGGCATTGTAAGTACTATATGTATTTGTAACGGTTTAACTGGTTTAATTGGTAAGGGTTTAATTATTACACATGAGAGGCAATTATTTTCAATTAAGCACTAAAAAGCAGTCAATTAAAGAATCTGTGACATTTTGTTCTAAAATCTAAGTGGGGAATAAAGGTAACCCATTGGTTATGAATAGGGCTGCTAATCTCACGGTCTGCAGTAAGAAACTACCAGCTGTTCCTCGGGAGAAAGAGGAGGCTTTCTGCTCCCGTAAAGATTTACAGCCTCGGAAACCCTGTTCAGGGTCGCTATGGGTTAGAACCGACGCTACGGCACATAACAACAGCAATCAGTTGTGAGCTGATCCTGGAGAGACTGGCTTTTGCTAGTTCCTCCAGGGGTTGCCTTGGTTACACTGCCTCCCTGTGACTAGCCCCTTCCTTTTCTTCTTTTCCCTCTTCTCCTTTTCTCCTGGCTTTCCTTTCATTTGTACGTAAACTCATTGCCACCAATCAATTCTGATTTCATAGCAACTCCATAGTAGAACTGTCCTATAGGGGTTCTTTATGGAAGTAGACCACCACAAATTTCTCCCGTGAAGCAAGCAATAAGGGGGGGGGGTATCTAATCACCAAACTTTCAGTTAGCAACCAAGCACTTAACCATGGTGCCACCAGGGTTCCTTCCTCTTCTCATTGCCTTTGCTATTGGTATTTTCTCCCAAGTTTCCTTAACATCCCAGGTAGCTCCGGCTTTCTGTAGCCCAATGGTTTTCATGCTTAATTTTACATTAGAACCACCTGGTAGAGTTTTTTTAAAAAACTCCCTGAAACCTAGATTTTACCCAGGGGTGTGTTAGAGCCAGTTCCTATTAACCTGTTAGAATATAGTGTTAAATTTTTATGATTTTGTGAGCCAGTTGATATCTTTTGTTGTTGTTAAGTGCCATTGAGTGGATTCTTAACCCTGTAGAGTTTCCAAGGAGTGGCAGATGGGTTTGAACTACCCACTTTGTGAATAGCAGTCCAGTGTTTTTCCTACAGAGCCACACCAGGATGTCATATTGGTAGTTTAAAATCAATCACCGTAGGAGTATTGCTTCCACTGGCACCACCGCTTCAGTTCTGATTTAAGTGGTCTGGGCATGAGGATAAGAGCACCACAGTTAACTCTAACAAGTAGCCTGGTGGGAAAAGCACGGGCCTAATTGTAGACTATCAGTGGGTCTGAGGTGTTGAAAAAAGGATAGGTTAATCAGAGGTGAGTGGAGATAGGGGAAGCAGTGATTTCTACAAAGATCTCGGTGAGGGCTCTGGTGGGTCCCCGGGTAACTCTCCGTAGCCCAAGCTGGACCATCGTTGATCAGTAGTTATTTGAGCATATACACCATAGTTTCCTAGAAACTTGTTAGAAAAGAAAATTCTCCAGTTCCATGTCAAACCTACTATATCATGAACTCTGGGGTTGGGCTAGTGTTTTCACAAGCCCTCCAGGTGATTCTGATTCCGGCTAAAATCGAGAACCACTGCTTTATGGTGGTGGCGGTGTTTATGTGCTGTGGAGTCGGTTCCAACTCATAGTGACTCTGTATTAGGGTTTCTGAGGCTGTAATAAATCTTTATGGGAGCAGAGCGCTTCATGTTTCTCCTGCAAAACAGCTGCTAAGTTATGAATTGCTGACCCTGAGGTTAGCAGCTTGATTTGTAACCACTACCAGAGTTCCTTCTGATTTAGGTTATGAGAATATAAACCTAAAAGTGCTGTTAAAACTTTTTTTTTTCTCTTTTGGTCAGAACATCCTTTGATAGTGTGAATTGGGTATAACCATCTTGTTCCATCCACACCTCGCCGAAGATGATGATGATGATGTATGTGTATATGTATGTGTGTGTGTGTATACACATGTATGTATACATTTTTGTTGTTGTTGTGTTTTGTTTTTAAGAGAAAGTTGCCATTAAGAGAGAAGGTGAGCAGCCAGGGAGCAATTACATCACTTTCCACAATAATTTTATCTCTGTCTTCAACTCTGGATCAATTAAGAAGGAAAAGATTCTTGTGGTCCTTGCTTATCATACTTTTTGAAGATCTCTTCATTCTTTAAAAGTAGTTTTTCCATAGGGTTGCCAATTACCAAAATCCTTTGTTGTTGTTGAATTTCCAGTGGAAACACAAATAGATAGATTGGTCCAAATGGCTAATGGATTTTTCTCTATAACCTCTGTCTAGAAAACAGAAATGAAACCATTTTCCCTGGCTCATTCATTCACCACTGTGTCTCAGCTAGCTAGTTTTTTTGACAAGGCATCCAGAATGAAAGTTGGTTCAGTGAAACCCAACTGAGGCTGACTCAAAGGGTCATAAGTGAGGGGAGATTTTCTTAGATCATGCTGAAGGTGGGTTGTGGAGGGGGAGAGTGAGGTAGGACCTATATTGCTGTCTCCAGGACAGGGAAATGTCAGGACACTGGAAATGTAATAAGTGAGAATTCCTGAGGCCCAGCTGCTCAACTTAGCCCCATCTAGTCATCTCAAGTTATATAGACAGAAGTTCCAATGTGGGCCAGCATTCTGTGTTCTTTGAAGAGATAGGAAACTCATGGGAGGTTCCATGTCTTTAGGAACTCTGACTGCATCCTGAAACTGTCTTTCACTCATTCTCAACTCTATCTTGTCATTCTCCCACCCCCAAAATGATCATATGTATTTTTTTCTATAGATTATAAATGACTGCCCTAATTGAGGAAGAAAAATATCCAATGCTGCCTGGTAGTGGTTACTCAAGGAGGTGAGGCTTTGAAGGCCATGATTGACAATAGAGGAATGGGCAGAACTTTGGGTAAGGGCTACATACAGTATTAGAAATAAAGAATATTGAAATGAATATGGTGCTGTCTATGACCTTGGGGACTCTGTTGTGACACATAGGAGAGTTTTTAATGGGAAATAGAAGATAGCAACTATGTAAAGGATTGGAGCTATGAATGACAGGCTCAGAGATTTAGCCTTTATCTATGATGTAGAAAAGAGTCAGTGATTATTTTTGAACAGCAATGAGTGACATCATTTCATCTATTAGAAGTTGGATTCTAATATTTGCAAGTGTTTGTTGAAAACATGACATGATATTTTGGAAATATTACTGTGGCAGGAGGAACTAGGCAGAATGTGGCTTGTACAAAAGAGAGTAGAATAGGGAAACAATTAGAAGGTCTTTTAGAAAAACTCCTGCTGAGAATATATATGTTTAGATCACAGTGTTGACCTGAGAATAGGATATATACATGCACATTGATTGGCAGAACTGTTGGTGTTGAAGGAGAGAGAAGAGTTGAGGATGATAACAAAATCTTAATGTCTGGGTGGCTGAGAGACTGGGCACACTATCTGAGGAGTTTTTGTGATTCCACGGGCCTAGGAATCAAATGACTTGACCATTGGGTAATGAAGAATGAAGAAGCAGTGAATAACAGTTTCAAGATAAAAAAAAATGTCCTTCTCTTTAGTAGATTCAGCATTGTTCTGAAGCAATATCATATTTTCACTTTAGACTGATTTCATGAAAGTATTACTAAAGAATCTCCATAGACCATCTCCCAATTTTGAAAATTTCTACAGAGCTAAGCCTCCTTCTATTGGTTTTTGTTGGTTTTAAGAACGTGTACAAGGGCAACGTAATCTAAGTGTTTTGTTGTTGGTATTTTCTTTTTAATTCTGGTGGCTTTCCCATACTGTTGATTGGTCCCAGTGGGTATAGTCTTTGAAAGTCTCTTGTTATTGTTGTGTGCCACCCAGTAAGTTCCAACTCGCACTGTACAGGGTTTCCAAGAGCAAATGGTGGATTTGAACTGCTGCCCTTGTGTTACCAGTCTAGTGTTTACCCTACTGTGGTGATGCCCGAAAAAGACATGTAGAAATCCTAACCTCTGTTACCCCCCTTTATCTGAAAATATGATCTTATTTGGAAAAAGGGTCATTGTAGATATAATTAACTCAAGGTAAGATCATACTAGATTCCTTTCTGAGCTTTAAGTCATATGACAGGTATTTTTGTAAGAGTAAGGCAGACCGAAGAGGAGAATACACAGAGGACAAGATCCTGGAAGACAGAGGCAGAGACTGGAGTGTTGCTGTCACAGCCCGGGAATGCTTGGAACTGCCAAAAGCTGGAAGAGACAAGGGAAGAGAAGGTTCTCCCTGAGCCTTTTGAGGAAGCATGGCTCTGCCCATATTTTGAGTTTGTACCGCTGGCTTCCAAAACTGAGAGAATAAATTTCTGTTGTTTCAAGTAATCATGTTTGTAATAACTTGCTACAGTGGCTCCAGGAAAATAATGTAAATGCTTCTCTGTTTTTTAAGTTTTAGTGAATATTTCAGAATGAGCTGACAACTTTAAAACAATTTTTTCCTAAGTTGATCGGAGACTCATTAAGGCAGTATCTTGCTAGAATCTTTCAGACTCAGGAATTGATGATTATTGTCCAAAGGGGACCCATCCTGTGAGTGGAGTGCTTAACCAAGGGACTTTTTGAAAGAGCATTATTATATCTACTTCTCCAAGTTACAGAAAAATTATTAGCTACTAGGAAATCATAATAAAAGTTTATTATTTAGTAGTGATTGAGCTAATATGTCACTCAAAAGCTTATTATTTCTGTACTACAACTGATAATATACCCTATTTCAAATAAGCCTAATAAAATCTACAAACAAAAAATAATATAATTTGAAAGAAGATTCTTTACTTCTAGAATTCATTGTAAGGTTGCTATAGCTCGAAGTACTGGGCTTCTATAGTGTTTTAAGATAATGCTATAGTAAGGAGCTCTGGTAGCGTAGTGGTTACGAATCAGGCTGCGAACCTTAAGGTCAGCGGTTCGAAACTACCAGCCGCTCCGCGGGAGAAAGATGAGGCTTTCTACTCCCGTAAAGATTTACACCCTCGGAAACCCTGTACAGGGTCGCTATGGGTCGGACCCGACTCGATGGCACTTAACAACAACAACATAGTAATATAATGTTCCAGTGCTAATATCAATTAGATTCAATGCACAGAATGGGAACCTAGTCTCTGAAAACCTCAGGGGATATTCTGAGATGAATAAGAAAGATGAGTTTCAAAATGACATAAATCAAGATAGCAAAAGGAGAACAATATTTGTTTTGTTAGTAACTACACCAGCCTTAGGCAGGCAGGATGGGTTAGAGATGACTCATCTCTGAGGTGGGGTTTGCAAACCTGACAGCAGTTTCCTACGGGCCATGGCAGCTGCTCGGTGACTTTCATACTCCACAAAAGCGAAGCCCCGGTTTTTGGTTTTATCAGCAGCACTTGGGTAGACAATGACATCCACAACTCCTTCAGTGACCTTTTTCATCTCTGAAAGGATTTCTTCTCTTTTTTTGGTTTTTGGGATTCCCCCAACAAACAATCGGCAGTTGTCCACGCTGGCACAAACCCCTAAGAGACGCCCATTTCTGCAAAACAGAGTAGGCATTTTGATTAATGATAATCTTTGTGTGATTAAGATTTAAAAGAGAGGTAGAAAATGTATGACCACCTCAGTGATGTGTTTGGTCTTCATAAATTTGGGAAATTTGTCAATTATTTCATACTTTTATAGAAAAAAAACCTGAAGACAAGTAGCATCTACTCTCTTTAAATGTGCAGTCACATGTTGTTTTCAATTCACAACACTTCCTATTTCCCCCAGTACTGAAGCCAAGAAGGAGCTCTGATAGCGTCATGGCTATGATTCGGGCTGTGAACCTTAAGGTCAGCAGTTCAAAACTACCAGCTGTTCTGTGGGAGAAAGATGAGGCTTTCTGCTCCTGTAAAGATTTATAGCCTTGGAAACCCTATACAGGGTCACTATGAGTCAGAATCGACTCCACGGCACATAACAACAACAACAACAACAACTGAAGTCAACACTCATTACCTTTACAACTGGCTCATATTACCCATGCTTGTTCTTCAGAGGCATGGGTATCTGCAACACCTGGTATTCCTTTTCTATTCCAGATACATAGAGAAGCTGTTTTGATAGCATTAAAAACAGCCCTTTACAGTTGTACAGATTTTTGTTGTTAGGTACCACCGAGTTGGTTCTAACTCATAGCAACCCTATGCTCCACTGAGCAAAACACCGCAGCAGGTCCTGTACCAGCCGCACAATTGTTAGTGCATTTCAGCCGTTGTTGCAGCCATTGTGTCCGTCCATCTTGTTGAAGGTCCTTCTCTTTTTTGTTGACCCTCTGCTTTTCTAAGCATGGTGTCTTTCTCCAAGAACTGATCTCTCCTGAAAACATGTCCTAAGTATATAACACAAAATTTAGCCATTCTCACTTCTAAGGAATATTCTGGCTGGACTTCTACTACACAGCTTTGTTCATTCCTTTGGCAGTCCATGCTATATTTAATATTCTTCACCATCACCATAATTCAAAGGCATCAATTCTTCTTCAGTTTTCCTTATTCACTGTACAGCTTTCACATGAATAGGAAGCAATTGAAAATACCACGGCTCACTTCAGTGATGTGACTTCTTCGCTTTGTTCTAATGCAATATGTCATCTGCTTTCTTAACTGGTACTTCCATGGGTATTCATTGTAGTTGTTGTTGTTGTTATGTGCCGTGGAGTAGGTTCTGACTCATAATGACCCTGTGTAGCGTTTCCGAGGCTGTAAATCTTTACGTGAGCAGAAAAACCTCATCTTTCTCCCGCAGAACAGCTGGAAGTTTCGAACTGCTGACTGTGAGGTTCACAGCCCGATTCGTAACCACTACGCTACCAGAGCTCCTTGTAGATCCAAGTAAAATAAAATCCTTGACAACTTCAATCTTTTTTCTATTTATTATGATGTTGCTTATTGTTCTAATTGTGAGAATTTTCATTTTTTAGGTGTAATCCATACTGGAGGCTCTATGTACTCCTTGATCTCTGTTAGTGGTGCTTCAAGTCCTCTTCTCTGTCAGTGAGCAAAGGTGTGTCATCTGCATGTCGCAGGTTGTGAATGAGTCTTTTTTCAATCCTAATGCCACATTCTTCTTAGAGTAGTACAGCTTCTCAGAATATTTGCTCAGCACACAGACTGAATAAGTACGGTGAAAGGATACAACCCTGATCTGCACCTTTCCTGATTTTAAACCATGCAGGATCCCCTTGTTCTATTTCAATGACTGCCTCTTGATCTGTGTAAAAGTTCTGCATGAGCACCATTAAGTGTTCTGGAGTTCCCATTCTTCACAGTTACTCATGATTTGTTATGATACACACCGTCTAATCACTCTCCATAACCATGCACAGATAATCACTCTCTATAATAAAGCACAGGTAACATCTTTTTGGTGTTCTCTGCTTTCAGCTAAGATCCATCTGACATCAGCAATGATATCCTTCATTTCACATCCTCTTTTGAATCTGGCTGGAATTACTGACAATTCCCTGTTGGTGTTCTACTACATCGACAAGAAATATTTTCAGTAACATGTAATTGTGTGTAATATTAATGATATTGTTCAATGATTTCCACATTCTGCCAGATTAGCTTTCTTTGGAATGGACATATATATGGATCTCTTCTACTTGGTTGATTAGGAAGCCTTCTTCCAAATTTCTCAGCATAGACCATTGAGCACTTTGCTGTTGCATCCATTTGTTGAGACAGTCCAGCTGTTAACCCATCAATTACTGGAGCCTTGTATTTTGCTAGCTGTCCTCAGTTTAGCTTCTTCCTTCTGTACCACTGTTAGATCCTATGTTTTCTCCAATATTGTTGATCAATGTTAAAGTGATTCTGTGTGTTTCTCCCATCTTATTTTGATGTTTCCAGTGTCATTCAATATTTTGCCCACAGAACCCTTCAGTATTTCAACTTGAGGGTTGAATATTTTTTTCCCCAGTTCTTTCAGCTTGAGAAGTGAACAGATTTTACAAAAAATCTTATTTGCATATGATTCAGTTAGAAGTTGTGAGATATGCAGTTGTTGTTAATTGCCATTGAGTCACTTCGACTCATAGCAACTCTGTATAAAGTTTCTAAGGAGGGCTGGTGAGCAGTTCAGACCAACCTTGCAGTTGAATTCTTATCCTAGATATCAGGATTCCAAGATAAGCAGTGATGGTGGTGGTTATGTACTGTGGAGTCGGTTCCGACTCATAGCGACCCTGTACAGGGTTTCCGAGGCTGTAAATCTTTACGGGAGCAGAAAGCCTCATCTTTCTTCCGCGGTAGTTTTGAACTGCTGACCTTAAGGTTCGCAGCCCGATTCGTAACCACTACGCTACCAGAGTTCCTTAAGATAAGCAGGCTGGTGGCTGTGTGCCGTGGAGTCGGTTCCGACTCATAGCGACCCTGTATAGGGTTTCCGAGGCTGTAAGTCTTTACGGGAGCAGAAAGCCTCCTCTTTCTCCTGCAGAACAGTGGGTAGTTTCGAACTGCTGACCTTGCGGTTCATAGCCCGATTCTAGTAACCACTATGCTACTAGAGCAGAGAGGGTATTATTTCCATTTTACAGATGGAGAACTTGAGATAACAAGAAATTCAATGATTTGTTTTCAATTGATAGGTTTTAAAGTGAAAAAAAAAGCCCGTCCTGGTGTGGTGCTGTAGTGTAAGCACTGGACTGCAAGGTCATTTGAACTGCAAGGTCGATGGTTCAAACTCACCAGCCACTCCTTGGAAACCCTGTACAGGGTTGCTACGAGTTGGAACCAACTCGGCGGCACTAAACAATAACAACAAAAGTATAAAATTGACGCTAACTCTCAGGCTATTTCTGTCACTCTGAAGTATTGCTTATTAACAATAATTGTAGTATGATTTCATTGGCAGAGTATAGATAGATTAAATTTTTCTGGAGAACATTTTGACCAAGTGTATTGAAAGTCTTCAGTGTAAGAAATCATTGACCAATAATGCTTCTTTCATGAATACATCCTAAGGATATTGAGAAGAGTAAATACGTACATTCATTACTGTGTTATTTATAATAGCCTTCAATTTAGAAATGAGAGAAATATATTCCACAGAAAAGAACTGATTTAATATATCAACAGAGGTGATACTGGCTTTGAGCATTTCCTCATATGCACTATAGTTTGTTTATGGTCTCTGACCCTTGCCCACTAAATGCCAACAGCCACTCCCCAGGTCATCCAAAAACAACTTTCATCTTTCTGATGCCCACTCCTGATTGGGAATCACTGGTAACAAAAAATTGACATTTATGTCATAAAATACCCTGCAGTAATATACAATAGTAATGTAGAAGGATATTTATTGGTTAGAAAAATTAGTTCATAATATATTCCTAGCTTGATAAAAGAAAAGTTGTAAAATAAATCTGTGAAAAGGTAATCTTGATTAAATGTATAGACAAGACTAGAATTATAGATAGTATAATATTAAAGAATGGCTTATCTTTAATATGGAGAAATAGGTTTTTAACTTTTATTCCTTTGTGCATTTTGATCTTTTCTGTGTGCTGTGCATTAGGCTGACAAGACTTTTGTAATAACTCAGTTATTAAAAACTCTTCATGCATTGTGACTATAAACTCTCAGACACATGAGTAGGAGTTGGTCTGACTTGTTGAAACTCGTGACTCTTGGTTGTGTGACAGGCGTCTTGACTAGGATTGAGTCACTGTCCTAGTGTCTATTATGCTTGGTTGAAGAACTAAGGGCCATATAGCAGATCCATAGCAGGTCCATTCTTTCGGTGAATATTGCTCTAGGAAAGTGTGTGTTTTTTAGGAGAATGAGAGTGGGAGGAAATAATTGATAAAATGATCTTCCTGGTTTTTTTCAACTTCACATAAAAATGTAATTTAAAAACTATATTATATTTGAGAGTTGCTTAATACCAAGCGAAACTAGAGTTTCCATATCCTGTTTTTAAATGGTGTGGCTTATCAGTCACATTCCCCTGAACTATTTAAAGAGAAAGAGCCATCTCTTAAAAGCTGGCATGACTTTAATATCTCCATAAACCAAGCATTTAAGCAATGCTTGTTGTTGTTACCAACTCATAGCGACCCTGTGCACAACAGAACAAAACACTGCCCAGTCCTGGACCAACCTCACAATTGTTGCCATGCTTGAGCCCATTGGTGCTACCACTTTACCAATCCATCTTGCTAGCGGTCTTCCTCTTTTTCTCTGACCCTCCACCTTTTCAAACATGATATCCTCCTCTAGAGACTGGTGCCTTCTGACAATATATCCAAAGTATGAGAGATAAAGTTTGGCTATCCTGGCCTCCAAGGAGTTGTCTTGCAAATTTCTTGGCAGAGATGAGTGAGTGCCTCCAGTGCCACCTCACTTTCTTGGAAGATTTCAATTTTCATTTCCATCAATTCCTGGTGCTTCCTTCAATGCACTTTGGACTTCTTCCTTCAGTATAACTGGCTCTTGATCATATATACTGGGCTGTATTTTATTCTGTTGTGCATAAGGTCACTGTGTGTTGAAACCAACTCCATGATACCTAACAACAAAATATATATGAGATCAGCCATTCCAAACACCAGGTTAAGCTTTTTAGAATCTTTATTGTATCCACACAGTAAATACCTTGAAACAGTTGAACAACAACCAATTCTTTTCATAACAGTGATTCTGTGTATTCCTTCTATCTTCTTTTGATGCTTACTGCATCATTCAGTAATTTGCCCAGAGAATCCTTCAATAATGAAAGTCGAGGCTTGAATTTTTTCTTCAGTTCCCCCAGCTTGAAAAATGCTGAGTGTGTTTTTTCCCTTTTGGTTTTCTGACTCCAGATCTTTGCATATTTCATTATAATATTTGACGTTATCTTCTCCAGTTGACCTTTGAAAATTTCTGTTCTGCTCTTTACCTCCTCATTTCTTCCATTTGCTTTAGCTTCTCTGTACTGGAGAGCAAGTTTCAATGTCTCTTCTGGCATCCATTTTGATATTTTCCTTCTTTCTTGTCTTCTTAATGACTTTTTGCTTTCTTCACATATGGTATTTAATGTTTAGTGAATCTTTAATGATGATGATGATGGTATGACCATTGTGGATCTTTTCCAAATAAGTGTCTTTATTCCTGGAGATATGGTGGTTGAATGAAAATTGAAGGTCATCTTTTCTGCAAGGAAGTTTCTCATTCTAGAAGATTTGTTCATGGCAGAGTGGAGGTAAGTTACCTTGGCTCCAGTCTCTGTTCTTCTATTTCCTATTCCATTTGCCAAACCCTCTCATTTTTACAGCCACTCTGTGCCTTTCTCTTGCTCCTGACACTGAACCTGAAATTTGTCTGGATCTTGGTCAGTAGCTTTCTCTTCCCTAATTCTTTGTCACATTTCTCCTTTTCCATCAGCACCATTATAACTCTCAGCAAACATTTATAGAACACCTATGTGTGTCAGGCCCTGAATGGTACATGTTTTATATCATTTATTTTTCATTACACCTTTGTGAGGTAGGTGTATTTTAATCTATTTGACTGGAAACTGTCTCTTTAAATTTTGAGGAGATCTGTGTGCATGCGTAGTAGAACCCTCCAAGGGTGGGGCTGGGGTGCCCACTAGCCCAGGCACCCCTATAGTCACCAGAATGGAGGTGCGCAGACAGCAAGGGACCAATGAACAGCTACCAAAAGAGAAGAATGTCCACACCTTTATCTCAGTGGTTCTGCCAGGCATCTGTGGCCGCTCCGATCCTTTCCCCACGTGGTCTCACCCAAGATGGCGGCTCCTGGAGCAGCCAAGCGTCCCGGACTAGAAAGCAATAGATTTCTTGCTTCTGCCACAAATTCCCCCAGCTGTGAGCCTTCCAACCTTCTAAGTATTCCTTTATATGTGGTTCAGAGTTCTGGGACCATCCCCTGAACCTGCTTGGTCGGGTATTCTGTGTTGTTGTTGGCGGAGCTCTCTGCAATACGTCCACCCGATCCGCCATCTTGTTTGTTCTCCCTAATCTATTTGATACATGAAGAAGCTGAGACTCACAGGGGGCACTGTTATTTATCAATAACACTGGGAAATGAATTGCATTAATTATTCATATCCTTCTAGCTTCAAAAAGTATAGACAGGCTCCAGTGGGTAGCAATGTGTTAAGTAGATATAAAAAACCCTGTTAAATTCCCTACATAGTCAATTTGACTTCTATGTCAACTCAATAGCCATTTGGGGAATAACCCTCACTTTTAGGATGTCCAGTTCCATGAAAGACCAAAGAATGAGGAACCCTCCAATCCCTGAAATCATACAGCTGTAATATTAAAAAATAGCTTTGCATAACTCTTTGCAAAGCACTTTAATATATATTATTTTATATGATGTTTTTGCTCAGAATAGTTTTGTTGGGTCCAGTGATAATGGTAAAAGTGATGTTCTGAGAAAATAAAGGTTAGTTTAAAGGGCTCTGGGCTAGTTCTTAGGTGTTCCATACACCAAAAAAAAAAATCCTCCAAATGTCACACAGATCATGTGAAGGCATGTGTTAGCAAGGAGTTTTCTTTCTATTTCCATAGTCTAGCATGCTTCAGAATTTACCCTGGAATTGAATGACTAGGCCACTGTTATTAGTTGATGTTGAATCAATTACAACCCATGGTCTCCCCATGTGTGTAGAGTAAAATTGCTCTCTAGAGTTGGATTTTAAGGTATGATCCTTTGGAAGCCGATCTCCCGATTGTTTTCTGAGGACCACTAGGTTCAGATTACCAACCTTTTGGCTAGTGGTTGAGAGCTTTATCATTTTAGTCACCCAGAGGCCCTCTAGGGCATGAATAATTGCCAGATCTAATAGAGCTTCCTGTAGCTGAGTTGCTGAAGAAAAAAACAAACCAGTAATTAATTGATTTATAGAATTTTAAGACTAAAGTGTAGCTAATCTGGAGCCTAGAGAAAGTAGGAGAAAAATTAATGGGAACACTGCTTCCTTAAATTTAAGACACCATCATTTTTTTTATGTATTTCAGTTTCAGAAAAGGAAATAGATATAAAAATCTGCATTTTAGAATTGATTTTATATGCTATAATATTGATGAATTGATATAATATTGATGGACTGATACAGTAACGATAACATTGGGCTCAAACAGGAGCTCTGTGAGGCTGGTATAAGACTGGGCTGTATTTTATTCTGTTGTGCATAAGGTCACTGTGTGTTGGAACCAACTCCATGATAGCTAACAACAAAATATATGTAAGAGATCAGCCATTCCAAACACCAGGTTAAGCTTTTTAGAATCTTTGTTGTATCCACACAGTAAATACCTCTGTAATGGGTACTATTATACCTACTTAACAGATGAGGAAACTGAGGCTCAGAGAGATTAAGTTACTTGGAGGGCTGCAAATGAAGCTTGTATGACTCCTGAACTATTGCTTTTTAACTGTTACATTAATCATTTTCCCAGATGGCACAGGGCTTCCTGATTTATGATCATAACCTAGACCTGGTGTAGCGCTTAAGGATAAGTACTGGACAGCTAACTTCAAAGTTGGCAGTTCCAAACCACCAACTGCTCCTTAGAAACGCTATACAGGGTCACTATGAGTCAGAACCAATTTAATGGTACTTAATAACAACAACAACCTCCCCAAAGTATATTTTAGAACTCAGAAAATTTCATGTAACTAGCTCTGTCTCCATACAGTAAGTACTGGACTGTGAACCACAAGGTCTGCAGTTTGAATCCACCAGGCACTCAGTGGGAGAAACATGAGGCTTCTGCTCCCTAAAGATTTAAGGCCTGGGAAACCCTATACAGGGGTGCTATTAGTTGAAACCGACTCGCCGGCGCTCAACAACAACAAAAACAGCCCTGTTTCCAATGTATAAAATTGATTATTGACTCCAAAAGTCCACTCATGTCCTGGTACACTCTTCTAGTGCCGCGTTTTTAAATACTGTCTATATTTGACTGACTCACACAGTATGAGCAAATGGTAACCTTCTCTCTTAGCTACAAAATTATGCAAACACTAGCTCCACATTTCCGATGAGAAGTCCATTGTGTATCTCAAATGTAAACTGCCCCAAACAGAGCTCTTCATGTATTTTCTGCTATATCTCCAGTCTTCTCTTAATGACACTGTTATTGTTGATGTGAAGTGCTGTTGAATTGGTTCTGACCCATAGCAACCCTGTATAGGGTTTCCGAGGAATGAGTGGTGAGCTTGAACCGCCAACCTTGCAGTTCAAAACAGCTTTGCAGTCCAGCACATTAACCCACAATGCCACACCAGGACTCCTCTTAATGATACTACACATCCACAAGTATTTGGACCAAAAGTCTAGGTGTCCTCCTTGAATCTTTTCTTTCCCTCTTGCTGAACATCTAAAAAAGCAAGTTGTATCAACTCAACCTCCAAAATACACTTCAGATCTGATCCCTTTCCATCACCTTCACCACTAATCTCTTAATCTAACCACCACCATGTCTTGCCTAGATCTAGACTACTGCTAACTGGTGTCCATCTTTCAATTCTTACCCTGCTGTAGTCCCTTCTCCACTGAGAGGACATAGTCATGTTTTATAAAGCATAAGTCTATTAAAACCCTTCCTATGATGTCTTCTTTTGATTAGTATGAAATCTGAGTTCTCTGTCCTGGTATAGAAAACTCTCCAACATCACTGCCTTTATAAACTCTCTAGTCTGTGTCCTCTGATCCAGGCACATTGGTCTTCTTTGTGTCCCCCCAGCACACAAGGATGCTCTCTGTGGCTTTGCCCTGGCTCTTTTTTAATGTACTCACCTTCCCACAGCTCTGTCTCTAGCTTTTTACTCAAGTCTCTCATATGAAATTTCATTTCCCCAGAGCATTTTCTAAATGCCACCAAGTTACCTCCTCACAGAACTTTATCCCATATGCTGGTTGTATTTTTTCATACTCTTCAAAATAATTGTATATATTCATTTGTTTACAGTGAGAATAGGAAAAGGTACTTTGATAAATTTCCAGTATTTTGAAAAGTGTCCAACACATATTTATGAAATTGAAAAATGAATCAAATTTGTTTTCAACATTTCACAGACCTTAGTTTGACACCTCATAGTGTGGGTATTAAATACCATTTAAATTAAATTGATTTTATGGTAAAGAGCTATCTTATTTTCTTTCTGACTTGGCTGTCTTTTGAATGCACAGGTGTGGTGCTATAGGGTAAAGCACTGGACCAGAAGGTTGGTTTGAACTGCAAGTTTGGTGGTTCAAACTCACCAGCCACTCCTTGGAAACACTATACTCTCTATGAGTCAGAAACAACTCTATGACACTTTATGACAACAGCAACAACAGAGAAATAGGTATAGTTGTGTTAGCTGATTCACTTTTAATGTAGAACAGATAGATCTTACCTAATTTCATAATTATTAAGTTGCTTGATTGCATTCTTGGCTTCCTGCTTATTTGAGAATGTTACAAAAGTATATCCTCTATTGTTGCCATTAAAATCCATCATCATTCTCATTTCATAAATTTTACCAATCTATAAATAACAGAAAATAGAAAATTAATGTTTGTAAATTTTTACTTCCAAACAAAACATTAATGTTCATGTGTACACCACGCACACACATAAACATATAAACACACATACACACACAGAGTTTTCTTTAACTTTACCTCCTACCAGTATTTGCCATTTGCAACCCATGTGGAATGGTTTGTATATTTTCCTGCTGGATTTAGCTCTATGTTTTCTGACTCATAGGCAAAGTCAAGTTCAATAAAGAAAATGTGTTCAAGTGGTATGTCAGCCTGAATTAACAGAATATGTTTTTTTTACAAAGCAAATAAACTTTCTTCATACAATTATCCTGGGATTCACACAATGTTTAATAAGAGACCTGAAAAACATATTTGCCATCAGAAGTATCATTTCTTGATTTATTTTTTTCCCTGCTTTCTAAACTCATCCCTCTGAAGTCTTCAAGTGTTTAATCTTAATTGGTTTAACTTTGTAAAACAAAGACAAGGAATACTCCTTTGGAACCTTCTTAAATGTACATTTTAGTTGTCTTTGCCTCTACTCCCCACCCCCTGCCAATTATGACATCAAAATAAGCATAGAAGATGCACTACAGAGAATGACTGGGAAGCCTTGCTATTTTGCCAATCTAAAGGCTTGAGGGAAATACAATTTTCACACAACTGACACAAGCCCAAATCTTCCATTGTAGGAAGACAATTGCTCTATTCCTCTGGCTACAGCTGTTCTGCTGGTCCATGTACTACTCCCTCCTCCCACCCCATCTTTTCTCTAGCAATTCAGACTGAGCAATTGATTATAGCTGGCTGCTATAAGATGAGGTGACCCAAAGAGATGGAAGGGACACATGAAGGCATAAGAGGTGTCATTAAACATGTGGTATTACATTAGTGGTTGGTTACTGCTTGGTTCAGACCCACCTCACCTCATCCCAAGGTAGTCAGGGATGGACATTTATTTCTTCATGGTTTATGGGTAAAGAGTTTGAGGATGTTTCCTCTGTATTTCAGGTTCAGTACATAGATGGCTACAGAATTGAATCTTCATAATTTGTACATATGTCAAGTGGTGGTGATAGTGGTTATGTGCCGTGGAGTTGGTTCCGACTCATAGTGACCCTGTACAGGGTTTCCGAGGTTGTGAGTCTTTATGGGAACAAAAAGCCTCATCTTTTTTCCATGGAACAGCTGGTAGTTTCTAACTGCTGACCTTGCAGTTCACAGCCCAATTCGTAATCACTATGCTATGTAAATAAAATTGGGAGTATTTCTGAATCTGATGCTGGTACACATACACACATATGCACACACACACTCTTGATTTGGTATTTAAGGAAAAAATAACTAAGTTGTCATTTTTACTAAAATTTCCAGGCATGCTACTACTTCTAAAAATCTCTTAGTAAATTATTGAGAGTAAATATTAATGTTGTATTCTGTCTTCAATTTTGATTTAATAATAAAATATCATTCAGAATTAAAACTAAAGATATTAATTCTTTTATAAGTATATAAAAAATGACTTTGAGAAAGCAAGTTCTCAATCTTGTTGATCATTTAAGGCAGAAGAGAAATTCAGATTTATAGAAGAAAATCCCCTCAGGCTGAATATGTATATAATATACACATTCTTCCTATATGAAAATGTTGTATCTTATTCAATCATATTAAAATATCAAGTAGGAGGAGTCAGATCATATTTTAGAGGTTGTCATGCTATCTAGAGTTTTAGACAAATGCAGTGTGCAGTGAGATGATTATGCCTGTAGAGAGATGGGGGAATGAGATACAGATTTGAGACTCATTAGCACTGGCAGTTGAAACTGTCAGTAGCAGAAGGAAGAGTTGCATCAAGGTGAGAATAAGGGGACAGTCATAGAAAAGTCTTAATATTGTTCAGGATTGATGAATGATGACTGGAATGTGTCATTCGATGCCTAAGAGGAATGAGTGTTAGCAAAGTAAATAGAAGATAGTATTTTTGCCTTGAATGGTAAGAAAAATATTAAATTTTAGACTCACCTTTTCACATAATGGTATAAGTTCATCCTCAAAAAGATCTCGGGGAAGTTTTCCAATAAAAATTTCACAGCCCCTTTCTGGGGGTGCAGCATCCCAACCAGGTGGAGGGCCGCCATATTTCCTTTGTCCATTTTCCTGCAAAGCCAGAGTGTGGTGCAGACATATAAAGGTGAGAAGAAATCGACAGAATCTTTAATTTGATTTCCTAGGTTAATTTTCAAAATCTTTTCATAATAAGGAACATATTTATCATTGACAAGTAGTGTAGTTGAGTGGTCAGAGAATAAAAATTAAAGTCTCTTTTATATGGATATTAACATCATTCTTTGTGCCTCATAGATTTGAGATGAGCATTATGAAACTTGTAAGTGCTGAGCAGATATGACGGTAGATAAAGAAGTATTGCTGCAAAATCATAGAAACCCATATTTTTTTAAAAAACGTCAAAATGTGAAACAATGGTTTCTCAACATATCCTCCATCTGTGCATCCACTTCTGGAGGTGGTGTTTCCATCTAACCCTTCCCTAAGGAATTTTGTACTGTTCAATATACATCACATCAAATGGTAGTTTTACCATCCTCAGTGTATCAAATCATGTTCCTTTTCAATGTTTTTTGAGTTTGGTGATTAAAAAGATATCTGAAGGGTCAAGACTGGGCTCTAGGATGGATGTGGGTAAGGTTTCCCCGTGGGGGAAAAAATTTTTTTTTAACTTTTTTGTGTGAATTGAGTGATGATATATAGACAAAATCATCAGCTTTGCATCCAACAGATCATATACTTTGTTTCATCTCAATGATTATAATCCCCTCCATGCATAAACAGTTACCCACTTCCTCCTTGTGGTTCCTATTTCCATCCCACCCACCTTCCCATCCCTTCTCAATTTTGTCCTGAGGCCCCGCTAGAAAGAATGAGCAGATGGTTTGTTGTAATGGGAGGAAAAATTACATTTCTCAGTGCACCTTTCCTGGCCTCTTTTCCACCAATGCAGTTTTCAATTTTCTTAATAAACCTCATTATCATCCTGTGTTCTTTGGGAAAATTTATCAATATTACCGCTTGGGAACCCCCAAAACAGTCACCATAACCTTCTGAGCTGACCTCTCTTCCTTGAATTTAACTGGCTCAGCAGATCCCCTCAGAAACAATGCTTTTAATAGAAAATTTTTATTTAAAGCACCTTAAGTGCAAGGTTGGTGATTCAAGCTCACCAGCTGCTCCTTGGAAACCCTTACAGGGTTGCTATGAGTTGGAACCAACTTGACTGCACTTAACAACACCATGGAGACTAAGGAAGTCCTGGTGTGGCACTGTAGGATAAGCACTGGACTGTTAACCACAAGATCAGGGATTCAAACCCACCACCCACTCGATGGAAACCCTTACTGATCACTATGATTCAAACTGACTAGATGGCACTTAACAACACCTACTAAGGAGACTAAAGAATCCTGGTGTGATGCTGTAGGTTGGTGGTTCAAAGTCAACAGATGCTCCTCAGACACATTATACAGGGTCTCTAAGTTGGAACAAACAGACAACACTTAACATAAGCAAAGGAAACTAAAAGATCCCTGGTGATTCAGTGGGTTAAGCATTGGAATACTAGTCACAAGATTGGCAGTTCAAACCCATCATCCACTCCTTGGAAGAAATATATAGCTGTCTTTTTCCATAAAGATGCAGTCTTGAAAACCCTACGGAGCAGTTCTGCTTGACCTGTTGGGTTGCTATGAGTTGGAATCTACTTGACGGCAGTGAATTTTCTTTTCTTTTTCAAGACTAAGAAGTTTATTACAGAGAGAACTTGTCTGTAACTATTTACTCATCTCAGAGAAATGTTTAAGCATTTGGAATAAATCCATGCATATATGAACTAGAATTCTTGTAGCAGTACCTTTTTTGCTTATCCAAATACAGAGTTATTATTGTTGATGGCGGTGTTTGTTTTGTCATACAAAGTCACCAAACTGGATAATGGAAGAATTTGCCTGTAATCTGCGTCAGGTACCCTGATTTAATGAGAAGGCTGCATAGGAGAGTGGGAACGATGCTGGAGCTCAACTTCTTGGCTCTGTCACTCACTAGCTATGGGTCTTTGGCAGTTGTCTTCATTTTTCCATTCTTCAGTTTTCTCATATGCAAATGGGGATAATATCAGCTTTTGATCAGAGGAGAAAATGCATAAAATACTCATAGTCAGCTCTGGGGCATAGTATATATAGTTATGCAACCCTGTCTTACTTTCCTGGATTTGTTATTGTTGTTGTTAAGTTCCCAGAGTGGATTCTGACTCATAGCAACCCTAAAAGGATTTCCGAGGAGCAATTGGTGGGCTTAACCACCAATCTTGAGTTTAGCAGCCCAGTGCTTATCTGGTTGTTCCATATGCTAAGGAAATTTGGTCCCCTAAATTCAAAAGTTATGAGGACTAACATTTGAAGGAATAGATAGGCTAATTTTGGGGTTTGCTTTGTTGTTGTTATGTGCTGTGGAGTAGGTTCCGACTCATAGCAACCCTATGCAGGTTTCCGAGGCTACAAATCTTTACGGGAGCAGAAAGCCTCATCGTTCTCCCGCGGAACAGCTGGTAGTTTTGAACTGCTGACCTTGCGGCTCACAGCCCAATTCATAACCACTTGCTCCCTCACTTTGCTGTTGTTAGATACTATCAAGTCAGTTCTGCCTCATAATGACCCTATATAGAGTTTCCACCTGCTCCTTGGAAACCCTATACAGGGTCACTGTGAGTCTGAACTGACTCTATAGAACTTAACAACAAAGTGAGTGACTTAAATCTGCTTCCAAAGCTGCTAAGAGAGTGATTGGTATTTATTAATGTTGAACTGCTGTGTGGAAACAATGCTGTTTTCAAACTTAACTTGTTTTTTTGTTTTTTTTTTCCTTTCCTGTTGTCTTAACAGCCCCTGGATAAATTGAATGGCCTTTTGGGTGGAGAAATAGCATTGATGCTTCTTTGCAATACTGTCTTTATTCTTTGAGATTAAAGATCTAAAAGTAACTTCAGAGGCCCCAAAGTGAAGAACCACAGCTAATCTGAAATCATGACTTTTCTTTAGAAAGGTAAGCCAATTACTCTCCACTTAAGTACCTGTTGAAAAGAACACAATATAAGAATATAAAAGGAAAAGAGAAAAATTCCCCAGTGCATTACCATATACAGTCTTAGAAATAGTTATTGTTCATTGTTTTAGTCTACGCTTCCAAATATTTTTCTATGTATATTTTTATGATATATTATTTGTTTAATGATAATGTTTTATAAATCAGTTGTTTAAAATCAGGGTGGAACAATACAGAGTATCATTGTTAAATCTTTATATAGAGAATACCAAGTTAGGTCTTTTGCAGTTATGTTATTTATGATGTTAGTCCAAAGGTTCTCTGGGACACAGGATTTAAGTCACATTTATTGGCACAACTTATGTTTTATTCCTAATAATTTATGTCATGTTGCTTTAAATTAAATATATGTACATATATATGTCAAGTGGGTGTTATTTCTTACCTTAGTAACTTAAGAACTAAATATTTTTCATCTTCCATTAAATTTTTTAAATTTTTGCCTCAAGAGTTCTTTTATATCTTTCTTTGTACTCTGTTTTCATGTAAGATTACTCAGTAATTGAGTATAATTGAGGCATAGGAGAAATGAAATATTTTGTACTTACAGGGGGAAAATAACTTTAAGAACTTCCTAAAAGTATAAATTTTATGTTTTCAGGAACATTACAGATTTGCTTGCTTGTTCCACCCTTCCCTCCTTTCTTTCCTTCCTTGCACCCACCCATTCACTCACACACTCTATTTTCATCTCTCTCCCTGACCTCCACCTTTTGGCCTGTCTGTCTTTCCTATCTATATAGTAGTAGGAACCTAAGTGGTAGAGTGACTAAGCACTTGACTGCTAATCAAAAGGTTATCACTTCAATCCTATCTATCTGCTCTGCAAGAGAAAGACCTAATAATTTGCTCCCATAAAAACGAGCCAAAACAACCTATAGGATTGAGTGAATCCTAACTCATTTCAGTTCTGGAGGACAGAATAGACCTGTCAGGTTTTCAAGACTGTCATTTTTAAAGGAGCAGACTGACACATCTTTCTCCTGTGGAGGGACTGGTATGTTCAAATGGCTGATTTTTTAGTTTGCAGCAAAGCACTAAACCACTGCATCACAAAGGATCATTTCCATTAAGGATATTGATATTGTTATTGTTAACTGCTGTTGAGTCAGTTCCAACTCATAGCAAGCCTGTGTAGCGTTTCCAAGGAGCAGCTGGTTGATTTGAACTGTTGACCTTGCAGTTAGCAGTCCAATATTTATCCTAGAGCATCACACCAGGACTCCATAAACATTTCAGCCTATAAAACCCTATAAGACAATTCTTCATCACGTGGATCACCAAGAGCTGAAAATTGATGTAATGGTATATAACAACAATATGTCAGACATTACTCTAATGTGTCTAACAATGCCATGGTTTAAGTACTATTATTATCCTCATTTTCTGCAAGAGAGGATCCCTGGTGGCACAATGGGTTAAGCACTGGAATGCTAACCAGAAGGTTGGCAGTTTGAATCCACTAGTCACTCTGCAGTAGAAAGATAAGCTAGAGTACTTCCATAAAGATTTACAGCTAGGGAAATACTACAGAGCAATTCTGCCATGTCAGAGCTCTGGTAGTGTAGTGGTTATGAGTTGGGCTGCTCACCTCAAGGTCAGCAATTCAAAACTGCCAGCTGTTCCACAGGAAAAACATGAGACTTTACAGCCTCAGAAACCGTATGCAGTATCACTATGAATTGGAACCAACTCTATAGCACATAACCACCATTCGCTGGCAGTGAGTTTGTTTTCTCTTGTTTGTGTTGAGATATTAGGTCTAGTGTTGTTGTTGCCATCGAGTCGGTTCCGACCCATAGAGACCCTGTACAGGGTTTCCGAGGGTGTAAATCTTTACGGGAGTAGAAAGCCTCATCTTTCTCCCGCGGAGCAGCTGGTAGTTTCGAACCGCTGACCTTAAGGTTCGCAGCCCGATTCGTAACCACTACGCTACCAGAGCTCCTTAGTGTTGTTGTTGAGTGCCGTTGAATCAATTCTGACCC